ACAAGTAAGAGCCAAGCCCAAATCCAGCCGAGCCAAAGCCAAGCCAACCAAAAGCCAAGCCAAGCAGCCGAGCCAGCCCACTAGAGCCGTGTGGCGGGAGAGCATCAAAGAAGCGGCAAGAGCCAAGCCCAAACCCAGCCAAGCCGAACCAAGCCAGCCAAAGACCCAGCCAAGCAGCCGAACCAGCCAACTAGAGCCGTGTGGCGACAATGCATCAGGTACAAGCAAAGAGGAGCCAAGCTCAAACCCAGCACACCACTATAGGGCATTTTCTTGGGGCCAGGATTTTGGGTGTGGCATTTGCCATTGGAAGCTTAGGGCCTACGGTTTGTAGTTTGTAGGGTTTAGGATTTGGGATTTAGGTTTTAGGTTTTGGGTTAACCCATGTTGCTGAACTGAGACTTTTGAAGACCTTGGCCCGCGCTGGCTCGATGATGTGGAGCGTTTCCCCACGTTCTTAAACCCCAGACTCTGGACCCGTAACTGGGCCTTAAGCCCTGAAGCATCACAACCCCTAAACCACGAACCTAGACCCTGGGTTCTAAACCTCAAAATGCCTGACCACGGAAGCCCCTGAATGAACCGGTACCCTAAACCCCAACCTTATTTGACATCCTGGGAGCCCCAAACGCGCGGGGGAAGGTGTGAGCGCGAACCTTGAGATGAATGATGGAGGAGGACTGCAATGGGTTTAGGGTTTAGGGGTTTAGGGTTTAGGGTTTGGAGGAAGCTGATTAAGACACCCTGGCCCTACATGATGACACCCAAAAATATTAGGATTCGTAGAAAGGACCCTATACAGACCCAAGGTTTCTTCATTAGGTTCTTATATTCTGAGAACAAACGACGACAGGAACCTGCTTTTTCTCCTTGGCGCCCAGTTTGGCCCTCAGACCCTTATTTTTGGGGGGTCCCTTATATGCCCGTCAATGGGTACGTACCTAAAAGTTAAATCCTTAGCCCTAAACCCTAAACCCCCAAACCCTGAACCGTAAACCCCTAAGCCCTAAACCCCTAAACCCCTAAACCCTGAACAGTGCCATGGTGTTGTGTAGACTCCGAGAAAAACGGGTGGGAGCCTTGCAAGCTTTACTGGCCCCGTTTTTTTTCACATTTGGCGAAACGTGCTTTGATGTAGGGGACTAAATAATTACCAATACTATTTTGGGGGTTCCTTATTATAATTATAGTATAACAGGCCCTCCGCATTATAATGATAGTATAACGGCCCCAAATGTCTATTCAAATTATTAAGGCCATCCGAGGTTTAGGGTTTAGGGTGGGTAAGGGTTTAGGGTTTGGGTGGTCTAGGGTTTAGGGTTTAGGGTGGCTTGGGGGTGCTAGGGGTTTAGGGCTTGAGGTGGTTAAGGGTTTAGGGTTTAGGGTGGTTAAGGGTCCAGGGTTTAGGGTGGTTTAGGGTCTAGGGCTTAGGGTTTAGGGTTTAAGGTGGTTTAGGGTTTAGGGTTTAGGGTGGCTAAGGCTTAGAGGGTTTAGGGCTTAGGGTGGTTAAGGGTTTAGGGCTTAGGGTGGCTAAGGGTTTAGGGCTTAGGGTTTATGATGGTTAAGGGTTTAGGGTTTAGGGTGGTTTAGGGTCTAGGGTTTAGGGTTTAAGGTTTAGGGTGGTGTAGGGTTCAGGGTCTAGGGTGGCTAATGGTTTAGGGCTTAGGGTGGTTAAGGGTGTAGGGTTCAGGGTTCTTAAGGGTTTAGAGTTTAGGGTTTAGGGTGGCTAACGGTTTAGGGTTTAGGGTGGTATAGGGTGTAGGATTTAGGGTTTAGGGTTTAGGGTGGCTAAGGGTTTAGGGCTTAGGGTGGTTAAGGGTTTAACCAGAGGTGGGGTGTCGCTTTGTGTTGTGTTCCTGACTGTCAAAACGTCCTCTTGTCCAGGTTTGGCTCGTGGAAGCCTGGGGATGCTTTCTACACCCCTGTGCAGATCCGCGTGTTTCTGCCGTACAAGGGGGACATGGAGGAGACTGAGGAGACGCTCCTCTTCGCTTGGCTTGCGCTTGTCAATTTCTCGGTCTTTCTCATGCTGGGCAGTGTTGAGTTTGGATGTTTGTAGGTGAACGGCATGATGTCCATCAGCCACCAGCTCTCGCCCAACGAAATCTTGGTGCCGGAGAAATGTATCAAGTTGCGGCAGGCGTGGATAAGTTTAGTGTCGTGTTTGGCCAGCCGGTGCTGGGTTGCTGGGTTTGGCCTGTTTGACAGGCGGGTGTTGCGGAGGACTTGCTCGCACTCAACGTATGCACTGACACCAGCTCGAGGCGGCGACGGCCAGGCGCCGCCAGTAAGTTCACGTTGATTCGTAGATTCTCGAAGAAGTGCCGCGTAGGACAGGCCCCCTGAGTAATTTCGAGATACCCTCCTAAGGACCTTCTGACTGCCATTCGGTGGGATACTTTATTTAGTGCGTTTTGCTAGGAATCCAGCTTATAGAGTTGTAGAGGTCACGTGTCTGATAGTAACGCAAAACGCTTCAGTAGGAAGGTGTGGGGTGCTGAGTGTCATCGCCGAGCGATGGCGAGAGTCAGGCCTGACGCCCTCTCTGACTCTTCTTGCCGTCCTCAACCTGCGAACCATCGCTCAACCCTGAGTCGTGGCTTTCGCACTGAGTTGCGCTGTACAGAGTAGCAGACTTGCTGTGCTGCACTTACATACGGAATGCTCAGGTCCCCGGGCTCGGCGACTCTTGTCGGCATTGGTGGTGGCTTGCACGCAGAGTATGCAGGAGGCACTAAACGCCGCCCGCACGATTCCCGAGAAATGCACATTCTGTTCGAATCCGATGACCCCACATGCTCTGCATGCTCCGACGGTCTGTCGTAGGCTCGCTGTCTCAAGCATTCCTTCAGCACTACTTGTCAGGTCCGCAAGCGGGCTAAGCAGTCCGCCGGTCTCGACTCCTCAGCTGAGGGCATGGCTCTAAAGGTCTCCCTAAAGCGCGGTTGCATGAAAGTCGGATCACTTTGTAACTTGTTGTGCGTGTTCTAGTTCCTCTGGAATTTAGGTGTTGGCAGCGCGTTGCACAAGTTGTTGCGATCGCAATCTATAATTCATTACACAGATGTCACGCTGTGCTGGGTGCGGGCAGAAAGGGGTCTGCGACTGTTGTCCGGGATGATGTGCCCAAAGCTGCCGGTGTGAATGGGTAGCTTCTTCAAGTGAAAGTTTGAAACATTTTTTGCTTGGAGCTTGGGTCTTCTTGTCGTTGCAGGACGCCGCACCCCTGGTTGGCACTGTGGAGTCGGGCGTGAAGTGGGCTGATGAGTTGGACCGACTTGCCCGACAAGTCCCAAAGGCGTGCGTTAAGGCGCGTCGGGTAGGATCGGGGGTCCCATGATTGGCTTCTCTTGCTCGTATAGAATTGCTCTTGACAAGCCAGGATGCTGCCGGACGGTCTTACGAGCTATTTCTCGACGCAGACACCCAGAAATACTCTCTCATTGACGTCCACAATCATCTTGACGACGAGGGGAGCTTCCCGTTGCAGATCATGAAGGCTGGCTGGGTGCATAGTTGCAGGTTGAGCTTGCGTATGTGGTCAAGAGATGTTCAGAGGTCATGCTTCACTTTGCATTAACCTTTGTCATCTGCCTGGGCTTGCATCCTCTCGTGAGCTTTTGGGGCTTGGAACTTGTTTTTGTTGCTTGGCAGCTTGGCAGTCTCAAACCAGTCAGCATTCAAGATTGACATCGATGACAGTTCCTTTCATCGTTTCAAGTTTTTTCCTGGGGCAATTTGTAGCGTGTGAGGTGCGGTGGCGTATAGTTGCTTGCCAGGCCAATACGCTGGCCAGGGTGAGCGTGCAGTCCATCGATGTTAAGGTTTAGGGTTTAGGGTGGCTTAGGGTTTATAGGGTTTAGGATGGTTAGAGTTTAGGGTGGTTAAGGGTTCAGAGTTTAGGTTTTAGGGTGGTCAGGGGCTTACCGTTTAGGGTGGTTTAGGGTCTAGGTTTTAGGGTTTAGGGTTTAGGGTGATTTAGGGTCTAGGGGTTAGGGTTTAGGGTGGTTTAGGGTTTAGGGTTTAGGGTGGGTAAGGGTTTGGGGTTTGGGGTGGTTAAGGGTTTAGACTTTAGGGTTTATTCTGGTTGAGGGCTTAGGGCTTAGGGTGGTTAAGGGTTTAGGGTTTAGGGTTAAGGGTGGTTTAGGGTTTAGGGTGGTTGAGGGTTTAGGGTTTAGGGTGTGGGGTGGTTAAGGGTTTAAAGTTATGGTGGTTAAGGGCTTAGCCTTTAGGGTGGTTTAGGGTCTAGGGTTTAGGGTTTAGGGTTTAGGGTTTAGGGTGGTTTAGGGTGTAGGGCTTAGGGTGGTTAAGGGTTTAGGGTGGTTTAGGGTCTAGGGTTTAGGGTTTAGGATGGTTTAGGGTTTAGGGTGGCTAAGAGTTTAGAGTTTAGGGTTTAGGGTGGTTAAGGGTTTAGAGTTTAGGGCTTAGGGTGGTTCAGGTTTTTAGGGTTTAGGGTGGCTAAGGGTTTAGGGTGTAGGGCTGCGGCACGTAACACGCTGGTTTTAGAAGTTTATTTGATTGATAGGTGAGCTATAAAGCCTTTCTCATCTAAGTCCCGCGTGCAACTGAATAAAACCCCGTAGAATGTTCTGGGATGGTTACAAACCCCGTAAACCCTCACCCATATCCCCAAGCCCCAGTATCCCAAACAACTTCTAAACCCGAAACCCGAAACCCCAAAAGCATAAACCCTAGACTCTAAGCCTAAAACCAGGCACAAAAGAACATACCCGAAAAGCTCAAAACCCCAAGCCCTAAACCTCATAGCCAAGTCAAAAAGTTCTAACCCTCGAAACCCTAAATCCATAAACCAAATTCAGAAAGTTCAATACCCTATATAAGCCCTAAGCCCTAAACCCTGAACCCCATAGCCGCAAACCCCAAACTAAACCCTAAACCCTAAACCCTAAACCCTAAATCCTAAACCCTAAACCCTAAACCCTAAACCCTAAAGCCGTGAGCCAATAAATCCATAAGCCAAAGCCAAAAACCGCTCAGAGGACTCCGGCCCTTGCACCTTTGTGCACGGACAGGGAATTCCGAGACTCTCCGCACCTCGATGGCTTCATGGGATATTTTTACGGATTTTTGTGGATTTGATGAATTTTGGCGGCGTTATGGAGGATTTCTGATAGGGTTTGATTCTTCTTGTTATTAAATGGTTCGTTCGGGTCTCATAGGTTTTCAATTCAAGGGTTTGATAATGTTTTTTCTTAGGCTTGGTAAAAATTTACAGGATCTCAATACCCTAAACCCCAAATCCTAAACCCCAATGTGGTTTGTAAAGGGTTTCGCACGGTTTCAATGATATCCAGATGGGGCCCTTAAATGGCTATGCAAGGTTTAGGGCAGGGTTTAAGGGTGATTGGGGCTTTAGGTTGTTAGAGCATATTAGAGTGATTTCTAGGGCTCTATAGGGCTTTGGATCTTATAAGAGTCGTTGTAGATATAGCATTGGTCTTGAAACCTTCTAGAGGGGTTTTTTATCCGGCTTTCTTATGTACAAAGGAGCGCAAGATTCATGATGTTCTTTTTTGTGTCCGGGTTTAGGTGTTACTAACTGTTTACAGGTTTTGTGAGGGCCGTATCGATGTTTAGGGTTTTTTGTTTAGGGTTCAGGGCTTTTGAGCATTCAGGGCGCTAGGGTTCTGAGGATTTGAGGTCTAGGCTTTGAGCCTGTATGGTTGAGGGTTTGCTGGGTTCCGGCTGGGAAATTACGCAGCGTTAGTGTGTTTCTGAATGAGTACGTTTTGGGTGCCAGGGTTCATGTTGGAGTACCCTCAGGGTGTGAGTTATTCGGATACAAGGTATTCTCAGAATTGGGATTTTTGGGCGTAGTTTGGGGTTTTCTGTGCCTTGATTTCGTCTTTGGGGGTTGGGTCTCCGCTGCAACCACCACCCAACTTCTTATTTGTGATATAGAAGCTTTTGTTATCGTTCTATTAGACAAAGCCTGCTGATATTCTGGTTGGGTGCTCTTAATCATTGGGTCTTCCTTGCACAGAGCCTGACCTCGGGACAACACATAGAGTTCTGCAGTTGTTTAGGCTTCTCCATCTCCGAACAAGCCTTGTCGACGGCAGCCAGTATTCTTGAGGCTGTGTCCGTGAGCCCTGTTCGCTGTCACCCCGTGCAGCGAATCCACAACCGTGAACTGCCCTGAAATGCCCTAGGCTGCCCTATGGACAAACCCAGACCTACAGACTCTACAAAAAGCAAACCGCATGCATTGATGAGACATCTAACGCCGCACAGCGCCTTGAAAACACCCTAAACCCTAAACCCTAAACCCCAAACTTTAAACCCTAAACCCTAAACCCTAACCGTGAACTCGAAGTCCACGGAGGCGTGCTTCTCCGTGGCAAGGCCGATGTAGACGCAGCCAACGAGGAGCCTAAACCCGGTTTAGGGTTTAGGGTTTAGGGTTTAGGGTTTAAGGTTTAGGGTTTAGGGCAAACCCTAGGAGCCAAAAACCCCGAACCCTAAACACGTACAGCCTAGAGGCCTCGCAGCCTCAACACCCTGAGCCCTAAACCCTAAACCCTGAATGCAAGATCCTGAAACCACCGAAAAGAATTTTACAAAAGGAGCCTGAAGAATTCGAGCAGTGATAGTTCGAGTATACTAGGAACCCTAAGGGATAGCATGACTGATCAGTCAGAAACCTTTAGGGGGTTTAGGAGTTTAGGGGTTAAGGTTTTAGGGGTTTAGGTTTTAGGGTTTAGGGATTAGGGTTTAGGGTTTAGTTCTGCATTGCATGTCTTCCGAATCCGGATCTGTACGACCTGATCTCGGGGCTCGAGCCTGGAAGACTGGGCACTGAAAGGTTTAGTATATAGTATATGGGCGCCAGGGCTTTGGGTTTGAGGTTTAGGGGTTTAGGGGTTTAGGGGTTTAGGGGTTTAGGGTTTAGGATTTGGGGTTTAGGGTTTAGGCTTAGGGGTTTAGGGTTTAGGGTATGGGCTTAGGATGGTTGTGCATGTAGGGTTAGTGTTCAGAGTCAAGGAACACTGACCCGCCGTACAGGGAACTGGCCTCAAGGGATGATCAACCTGCTGCAATGATATACCTGCTTTTTAAATATATATATATATATATATGTATGTGTAAATATGTGTATGTACGTATATGCATATATGTGTACATGCATCTGCATATATAAATATATACACATATATATTTACATGTGTGTATAGATGGTTTGTGCATCAAGGGATATCGGAATCGCAGTCGTTGTCCATATCTACACTGGGGACATCGAGCCTGAACCCCGAAACGGCCGTAAGCGCGATTCACGAAACCTTGAGATCCAAGAAGCGCGTGCAGTCCATTGTTCCGGCTAAACCCTAAACCCTAAACCCTGAAACCCTGCAACCCTAAACCCTAAACCTTGAACCCTAAACCCTAAACCGTTCCGGCGCTTGCCCTTTGTCTTACAGATGCTGTGGGCCCGGCCCGGCGGAAGTATGGTACAGGGGTTGAGGGCTTAGGGTTTCTGTACAGGCCCCTCCTTTGTGACTAGGTTCGAAGGAAGCCTCACGTCAAGGAAGTCCTACACCCTAGAACTGTTAGGGTGTAGGGTTTACCCTAAACCCTATAATATCTTAAAGGCCAAAACCCTCAACAACGCGACCCAGAGGCTCCAACAGCCTCAATGAAGTACACATCCTGGGTCTGTAACATGCTTCGGAGTTAAGGGCTCTTGGAGCCTACTTATAATCTCCATTGTAGTTCCTTTCTGTGGTTTAACCAACTTGATAATTAATTAGGATCCTATATAAGGTAACCCCAAAAAGAGCTACAATGGAGACTATAGGTACTTGCAAACCCTGAGCCCTAAACCGAGTCGCGGACCCTGCCCTACAAGTTTTTCTTGGGTGAGGACGGTGACAGGGCTCTTCATTTCGCTGCGTGCCGCAAAGACAGCCCTTGGAACGCAGAAGTGGGGATTGGTAAAATGGAAGAAGGGTTAAGGTTCAGAGAGTTTAGAACTTCGGGGTTTAGGGATATAGTATTGGGTGCTTCAAGCTGAGGTCTTTGTCTTCGGGTTTGCAAGGCCTGTAGAGTTTCAGCTTTCATGAATGCACCATTCCTAGGATATAGCTTCGTAGACCCTCTAAAACCCTAAACCCTAAACCCTAAATCCTATACCCTAAATCCTAAACCCTAAACCCAACAGTCACGCTTTCAAGGAAACCTTAAAGGAACCCCCTCTCTTCGCTTTGAAAGGGCTGCTCTATTGGGAGCCTTATCTTCCTGAGTTGCGGCAGTTTCGGCTTCCGTGAACCCCATGCCCTAATGGACGGGTGGTTGGGTTTAGGGTTTAGGGTTTAGGGTTTCGGCTTCAGTGAACCCCGTGCCCTAATGGAGGGGTGGTTGGGTTCAAGTAGAGTTTACCCGTTTACCCATTGGCTCAAAAAGTAAACCCTGAACCCTTCTTGGTTGATCTCTAGTGGTTCTCAGGGATCAGGGTTCGTTTAAACCCTAAACACTAAACCCTAAACCTGAGGCTGCGGTGGGTTCACAGTTTTGAGGGCCCAAAACGCAACTTGCAGCTTCAATCGCAGCAACAGGACCTTACACTTGGGGTTATATCCTAGGTAGTATTAGGCTAAACCCTAACCCCCAAACGCTAAACCCTAAGCCCGAAGCCCGAAACCCTAAACCCTAAACCCCAAACCCTAAATCAAACAAAAACCCTAAACTCTAAACCCAAAACCCGAAACCCTAAACGCTAAACCCACCTACGATGCCTGAGGTCCCGTCTGTTCCTGCAGGGCCGTAGTCGAAGAGTAGGGGATGCGGTCCTATGTCGGAGCGAGGCCCTGCATTGATTCTGTGAGCCAGAAACTGACTTCTCATTTAATTTAGGCTTTCGGGTTTAGGGTTTAGGGTTTAGGGGCTTAGGGTTTTGGGTTTAGAAATTAGGGTTTAGGGGTTTGGGGGTTTAGGGTTTAGGGCGTTTAGGGGTTTAGGGGTTTAGAGTTTAGGGGTTTAGGGGTTAGGGCGTTTAGGGGTTTAGGGTTTAGGGTTTAGGGGTTTAGGGTTTAGGGTTCAGAAATTAGGGTTTAGGGGTTTAGGGGTTAGGGCGTTTAGGGTTTAGGGTTAAGGGGTTAGGGCGTTTAGGGTTTAGGGTTTAGGGGTAAGATTTCTTGATCCGCTGCTGCCCTGTACCACGTTCGACTCGAGTCTCAAGTGTACCTGCAGTCACCTAAACCCTAAACCCTAAACCCTAAACCCCAAACCCTAAACCCTAAACCCTAAACCCTAAACCCTAAACCCTAAACCCTAAACCCTAAACCCTAAACCTTTCTGAGGCGACTTTGTCTCGCTGTTGCTGGATGCCAGGGCAGATCCCACAGCAAAGAAGCTACGTCCGCAGAATTTCGGGCATCAAGCTTTGAATGTCTAGGGTTTGCAAAATGATAGGGCTTCCGGGCTTGAGTAGTTTGGCGGTTACCTAAGGTTAGTAGAGTGGTGGTTGTTGTGGTGTTGTGTGCCAGGCCTGCAAATCACGTTTTCTCGTTTCCCACTTGCTCTTCGGTCCTTAGGCCATCCTTGCTAAATGAGTCTGAGTGTAGTGTTAACCCAGAAAGCCCAATACCCCTTAATTGAGGAATAGACCTTAAACCATAGTACTAAGGTGTCTATAATTTAAGGTATATTCCGTAATTAAGGGGTATTGGGTTCTCTGGGATGGTTTGTAAGACCGCTTGAGAGGGGTTACGCTGTTCGTGCGCTTTCGCCTGCAACAACTCACTTTGATCCCGGCTGGTAGTTCCAGCCTTAATAGTGACTTCGCCGTCAGCAACAACCTAGACCAAGATCTGTAAGGGAGTCGTCGCCCCCACTCCGGGCCTGTACTCCAAAGTGCAGAGCATTTCACAGCCACAGCCGCACAGCTGTGCGACATCTATGTGTCCCTGCACGCCGAGCCGGCGACCAAGTTGATCGCCGACTCGCCCTTGGGGCCAGGGGTTGTGCGTGGACCGCGGGGGAAGACGGCGGTCCTGCTTCCTTGCGACACATGGGAGTTTCCGAAAATAGGGGACCCTAATATAGTACCCTAAATAATAGGATCCTTACTATAAGGACACCAAAATAAGGTACCCTAAACCCTAAACCCTAAACCCTAAACCCTAAACCCTAAACCCTAAACCATTACCCTAATTTTCAGAAGCCCCCGCATCGGTGCTGGGCGAGTCGAAGAAGCGACCGGCTCATCGCCCGGCGCCTCTCCGTGACGGCCTGCTCTCGGTGGCTCCAAGCCGGTGGGTTGAGGGTTTAGGGTTTAGGGTTTAGGGTTTTGGGTTTTGGGTTTTGGGTCTTGGGTTTAGGGTTTAGGGTCTAGGGTCTAGGGATCCAAAAAGTAGATCCCCTAATGGGAGTTCCTATAAAGAGCCCTTAGTATAGGGTCCCAAGTTAGGGGATCTATTTTCTAGATCCTTCCGGGGGTCTGGGTAATTCTCTGTTCAACCCAGTAGCAGCAGCAGCGGAAAGAGTAGATGAAGCTCATTGCAGGATCAGAGCAGCAACCTTATATCAAACTCGCCGGATCAGAAACGCAGGGGGGGGGGGGAGAGTATAGAGTTCGTTCCGAAAGCTCCGCAATTGGGGGATTGAAGCTGTCGGGTTCAGGAAGATACCCTAAACCCTAAACCCTAAACCCTAAACCCTAAACCCTAAACCCTAGACCCTAAAGTGTAGAGCTGAGATCTTAGATTACCGAGGTTCTGAGGGTTTGTCGACGGCTAAGGATGAAGGCAAAGTCCAGGGCTTGGGGCCTTAGGGTCTGCGGCTAGCTCGTTTATTCAGGGAGGGCTCTAGGGTTTAGGGTTTAGGGTTTAGGGTTTAGGGTTTAGGGCTCACAGCTTTTGAGTTCTTCAAGCCCCAGCCGCAGGATTGAAGCCTTCATAGGCGGTTTAGGGTTTAGGGTTTAGGTTTCGGCGCTGAGGAACTGCATGGGCGAGACTGCCATGGACAACGCCTGGAACGAAGATGTGCCCTGATGGCCATGTCAATGCTTGCCTACGTCGGCTTTGCCACCCCCCCACCCCAGAACTGCTATGCCCTAAACGTCCCAAAATGTCAGCGAAGCTTAATGTCTAAACGCCCAAAGGTCCAAAGCCGCAAGCAAGTTGTACGTAGTACCAAGGAGACCCCTGATTGGGGACCCTTCCCAGTGCGACCGCAGAGGGGGTCGAACAATTGAAATGACCCTTCCTAACCCTACTTCTGGCTCTCTTAAAACCCTTAGACCCGAGCAGTCAAACGAGTCACTTCGGCTAGGTTGGTATCCTCTGGGTTAATGTAGGGGCCTTAGTAATTATCTATATATATTTTTTGGGGGGTCCTTATTAAAATTATACTATAATGGCCCTCAAACCCTATTCTAATTATGAAGGCTTCTGCATTAGGGTCTTGGGGTGTGCTCCGGTGTTATGGGGATGCATAGGGTTGTGTACGGCTTTGATCGGGTGTTATAGGGCTGCTCATACGAGTTTATTTGTTCTTTTTTGCAGGGTCTTATACGGTTTGGTAAGGTCTGCAAAACTTAGTTTTGTTGTACCCTATAGTCCACGTCCAACCACGCCATAAGTATACCCGCGCGGAACACTCACTCCAATTATTATGGCGCCCTGCGTGATCTCGTCCTCGGGGCATAAAGTTGGTCAGGCTTTTGGGTTTTGAACTGAAGGGTACTGATCGCTTCTCTTATGCCTCTATAAGGCATGATAAAGTTTCACAGGGTTTGTAAGCTGCATTCTGGGCATGTGGGGTTGTAAGGGGTTTCGGGTTCTAAGTTCTAGTCCCTTTGTTGAGTTTGGATTGTTCTATAAAATCCGCAAAAATTACCAACATTATTCCTCAGGGTTCCTGCTTATGAATATAGTAGAATGGGAATCAAAACCCTATTTAGTCACTAAGGCCCCTACATCATAGAACCCTTCTAGTAACCCTTATGGAGCCCTTTCAAAGGAAAGTTTTGGGGGTTTATTCCAAAACCTTAAACCCTAAACCCCAACAACCCTTTGAACCGTCAGCACTTCAGGTACGCGGGATTTTCGACCTGAAATGGTCCAACGACGCTTGAAGGCGCACAGCATCACGCTATGTCGTGCGTGTTGACGCTGCAGATCTCCAACCGGGTTTGAGTAAACAAGTAACCGGCTCATGTTATTCATCCGATTGTGCCCGTACCCACGGCCCTATTTTAATTATGAGCGCCCTTTTCTGAGACCCTTGCATTCGTTTTACACTCGACTTCCTTGGGCTAGTGGGGAGAGTAGGTATTGCAAGATCCTCAGCCAGGTATGTAAACACGATCCCAAATCCTGTGCAACCCTCCCTCGATTGATGGATATGCAATGGTTATGCGCTTAACCCAAAGGGGCTGGTAAGCTGTTCTAATGAGGGTTCAGCATGTGTCGGTGTCGCGTTCAGGCCTGTCAAAGAGCCCCATGGCTGAGGGTTGCAGGTGCAGTATAGGGGCCTCAATAGAATAGTGTTTGGGGGTATATTCTACTATAATTATCATAAGGAGCTCTCAAAACCCTATTAGAATTATTAAGGCCCCTACAGTAGAGCTTGGAGGTACCCTAAACCAACCCTAAACCCTAGGGTTTAGGGTTTAGGCGCTCAGCCTCTAGCCCTAGCTACCAAACTCCAAGACCCGAAAGCACCCCACCTTGACGGCAAGAACCCGCGACCTGTAGGAGGTTGAGTTTACCTCGGGATTCAGATTTTTGGCTTATTGTCGTAGCCCGAAGACTCAGTGACCCTATCAAAGCACTGCAAGGCTTGTGTGTTTTAGCCACCCTTCAGGCAGATGCTCGTAGCTTTCAAGTCGAAACAATCGTTCGTACTGCCATTGGGCCCGACACCCTAAACCCTATAAGCCTTATACCCTATAAACCCTATACCCTAAGCTCTACACCCTAAACCCTAAACCCTAAACCCTATAAGCCCTATACCCTAAGCCCTACACCCTGAACCCTAAACCCTAAGCCCTACACCATGAACCCTAAACCCTAAGCCCTACACCCTGAACCCTAAACCCTAAGCCCTAAACCCTATAAACCCTAAACCCAGCCGAGGCAGTAGGATGCCTATCAGGGTCAAGGTTCCAGAGTCTAATTCTAAAGGCTTAAGGCCTCCAATATGGTGGCCTGAATAATTGGAATAGGGTTTTGGGGTATATTCGACTGTAATTATAATAAGGAACCCCCAAAACCCTACTCTAATTAAGGACCCTACATTAGACTGTAATCATAATAAGGAACCCCCCCCCCCCAACCTATTCTAATTATTAAGGCCCCTACATTATATGATGCGTCTGAGCACCAGGCCTCCACGGAAGCAGCGCGCCAGGGGAGATGCCGCCCGTTTGCCTCCTAAGACGGGTCCAGGTGTGGCGGTGAGGGCTAACCACAGAACCTAAACCCTAAACCCTAAACCCTAAACCCTAAACCCTAAACCCTAAACCCTAAACCCCACCAGCCGTTAAACAACGGGGTTTGCAGGGTCTGAGATTTATGGCTTTATAGGGCTTTGGAGACGTGTGTTTTTTTTTTTAAGTCGTACAGGTGTTAAGAGGAATTACGGAGGATGGCGTAGATTCTTCGTTGAGCTCTCTATGAACTAAATTGTCTTCAGTACTTGAGGTGCATTGAGATCTCTGCAGTGGGGTGTGGTCCCGGGCTCGAGGGGGGGATGTAGCCAACAGGGTTTTTAGTGCCCTAGCTCAAGATATCCCGCTTCCTGATCTAAGGAGAGCTTGCTTACACTAAGTCCCCTGGTATTTCAAGAAGATTTAAGCGAGTAAACCTCAACAAGTGAAAACAAGAAGGAACGACCCATTTGTTTTATTGACACCAACAACTTTACGGCTTGGGATTAGGCTTTGGGGTTTAGGGTTCAGGGTGACAGCAACAGCACCAGCCATGTTTGTTTCCTACAGTCTTTTCGCTGCAGACCTCTGGCCGTAGCCGAAAATGCTCAGGTGCAAGAAGAGCTGGTGGACTGGACGAACCTGGAGTGAGCCAACTGTGCCATGTGACCTGAAGAAACTGCACTACTATTCTGTGAACCTTCCGTAACATAGCTCTCTGCCCTGGTGCCCTATTAAAACTTGTTCAGACGAAGCATCCCAACCAGGCTTCGGACGCGGAGGTTTGGGCCAGGAACCTATAGGCTGAAGGCCCCAAACTCGAAACCCTAAGCCTAAACCTTGTGGCCCATAGTCTCTGCCAGTGACAAGACCCATGGCGCGCCCGCGGTGAAAACAGAGGGGGGGGGGGGCGAAGCAACAAAGCCCGACGGAATGCAATAGTAAAGGAGTAAAGGGGCCTTCATCATTAAAATAGAATTTTGTGCCGCTTTATACTATAATTATAATAAGGAACCCCCAAAATAGTATTGCTAACTTTGCATCGGTACCATTCCTTTGGGTTCCTTGTGATGGTTGTCAGGATCTACCCCCAAACCCTATTCCAATGAATCCCAATCCCGCAATCCAGCAGTTGAAGTCGTGACCGAGAGGATGGCAACGTGAACTTTCCCGTGGGATGGGTGCCGCCCGAGGAGGTGCTCAGTGCAGTGATGGCGTTTAAGGCTTTAGTTTGTCGGCCGTAAATTTGAGTAAGAGGTGAACTAAGTGTTCCTGTGGCTGGGGATTGAAATTCAAAGATGTGGGCACGAGGTATGAGGTCTAAGAACAGACAGTCACGTCGTGGGGCAGTCACTCAGACAGACCAGGAGAGGGAGGGACGGCCAATAGACAGCCGGACGGACGCACAGACAGACAGACAGACAGACAGACAGACAGACAGACAGACAGACAGACAGGCGGACAGACAGACACACAGATTGACAGACCTACAGACACAACCTGCAGGTGCACAGCACTGCCATCTGCAGGAATAATGTGGTGACCAGTGAATGCTCCTGCGCAAATTTGCGTGTGTGTACATGCCAAGCTACAAAGGATGACAGACAGACACAACCACCTGCAAGCATGCACGCGTACATACATGTGAGCACGCAAATGTCTGCATACACTTACACTCGTGCATGTGATGTTCAGTTGCACGCAGCACAGCAGGTATTCGTATACGGATCAACGGTCAGTCTGTGTGTGTGTGTATATGCATATATATATATATGCACAGGTACACAGTAGTAGACGTTCATATGCTCTGAGACGAATACAGTCCCTGAATTCAAGAATGATCCGCAAATTGCAGTATACCTGTGCGACAGAAAGACAGATCAGACCCGACACACAAGACCTTTTGAATATGTTATGTAGGTATGCATGCATGTATGTAGTTATGCATGTCTGTAATTTATGTATGTATGTATGTATGCATGTATGTATGCATGTATGTATGCATGTATGTACGTATATTTGTATGTATGTATGGATGTATGTATGTATCTCAACGTTTATATCTGTCGCATTGCCGTGTAATGGAATGCAATGTATAGACACCCACGTGCAGAGAGACACAAAACCTCGAAAGCCTGCTTTCGATCTTCACCTGTTCAGAAGCCGCCCGGCGACGAAGATGAGGAAGCCGTCGAAGATTCTCCGGCAGAAGAGGCCGCGACTGCGATCAGGGTAATATGGAAGCTTAAATAACTACCTATATTACTGTTAGGGTTCCGTATGATAAACATACTTTATTAAAGGAGCCCGAAAACCTTATTCTAATTATTAAGGCCCCTACATTCTCCTGTATGAGCCTGATCTCTCCGATGTGCATGCGCAAACGCCCGCCGAGGCGGGCCCGGGCATCAAGTTCCAAGGGGACCCTGGCCCTGAGATACACCTGGACTTGTATCAGTCTCTTAGTGACCTTGCGCAGGCCACGGATCAGCAGATCTATGACCTGGTTGAGGCTAATGTCGCACCGCTTCCTGTCCTTCGGCAAACCCTAGAGGTGTGGCGAGCGCAGGCCACGCTTGAGGAACTTGCTTCCGCCTGTGCCGACGTCCTCCTGGTGCTCCACCCGGAACACCTTTGTGACAAGGTTGCCGGCAAGGCAAGTGAGGATGGAGATGAGACTTTGCCTGATGATTTCTTTCACCCTGACATTACCCCTCCGTGCTTCGCACCGGCTTGTGAACTTAGGCCTGTGCTTTGGAGTGGGTATATCGACTGTCAGTGGATCCAGCATTGGGGTCTGTGCAGTTATCCTCCAGTTGAGGTCCCTGTCGGTGACCTCCTGGCCGGTACTATCACGCCTGCCTCTGGATTTTGCGTCTCTTTCCCGGCACCGCCTTCCGCAATTCCGCCCCTTCTTGCCCCATGTCCTGGCCCTGTCCACCTGCTTCGTGGAGCTAGGCAGTGGATCGAGGGGGTTTTACGCCTTTCAGGATGCCTTGTCCAATATGCCATTTCCCGCGTACCAGTACGACTGGTTTTCCCGGTTGGGGCACATGACTTGAGCCCTATCTCTGACTGGCTTTTGCGGCTGCAGGGTGGCCAGGATAGGAGTGACGCTTGCAACTTTTGTTTCACCTGTGAATTCGCCGCTTCGCAATAGGCACGTCCTCCGGACTTTACGCCTTGTGGAAAGAAAAGGCCCCTACATTATGAGGATGCCTCCCTGGAGCCCCCGCCTCACCCGAATTGATGTTGTAACGTCGATGAAATGTTTCTGCCACTCGCAGTCCTTTGGCGATCTTGTGATGTCGTCCCTAACACCCTAAAGCCTGCACCACTACACCCGAAACTCTACACTCTGAAACCCTAACATTAGACCCGAAACCGTAAACCCTAAACCCTTAACCGTATGGATCCTGGATCCTAAGTCCTCAACCCTAAGCCCTAAATCCTCAACCGTATTATAAACCCTAAACCCTCAACCCTAAACCTTAAGCTCTAAAAATCCTCCATCCTCAACCCTAGACCCTAAATCCTAAACCTAAATCCCAAGCCCCAAACCCTGAACCCTAAAGCCTTCAAGACCTAAACCCTAAACCCGAAAGACCCATAATCCTCAGCCCTGAGCCTTAAATCCTCAACCCTATTGTAGACCCTAAACCCTCAAACCTAAACCCTAAGCCCATCCTCAACCCCATTATAAACCCTAAATCTTCAAACCCTAAACCGAAAGGATCCAAAATCCCCTAAACCCTAAACCCAAAATCCTAAACCCTAAACCCAAAACCCTAAACCCTAAACCCTAAACCCTAAACCCTAAACCCTATAAACCCTAAACCCTAAACCCTACGGCTCAAGGCCGTTTCGGTTCATTCTTCTGATCTTCAGTGCCCCTGTCCCCTCCGTGCTTTTGAGGGGGAGTGTCCTGCGCTGTCTCAGCGCCCGTGATTGTCTCCCAGTACCCGATCCTGTACCTGTTGCTGGCACGATTCTCCGGGGCGGCTTTGCTGGGCATAATCGCCTGCTTCTACCTGGTCATCCACTTTGTGCGCATTCGGGTGTTCTTCGTCTACCCGTTTCTGGTGCTGTCTCTCGGCACGATTCACCGGGGCGTCTTCGCTTCGAATCTGGACGATCATGGCAGAGATAGTTGGCTCTCCAACTGAGATTGGGGAGGATGAGGACTTAGACCTCGAGGAAGTGAAGTCCGAGAATGGGTCGATGAAGGTCGACGTCGACAAGGAAACCAACCCTTCTCGCAGAGGTACCTCATCAAAACGGGGGCGCAACGACAGTGGTCAACTTGGTGGTGAGAGCCCTGGGAAAAAGAGGGATGCGGATAGTGACGACTCGCCTATCACTGCTCGAGAACTTCGACGAATGCTTGCTGGACACCTGGAGTCGATCAAAACGGGGTGGAAGGAGATGGACGGCAAAGTCAAAGGCCTGGCTCGGGAAGTTGAGAGCAACCGAGATAAAACGAAGGAAGTCGTGGGTCGAGTTCAGGCTGTGGAAGTTCGTGAAGCAGCCACTTCGTCCAGGATTTCAGCTCTGGAAAAGGGGTTGGATGACGTCAAGAAGAACATGGTGCGTACTACACCTACCGGGGCGACTGGACACAACCATGGTCAACTACCCGCTGGACCTGACCCATGGGCACAATTTCTCAAAGAAAAGGGGAGGCAGCCACCGCAGCCGCACCAACAGTTCGCTACAGCGGGGAATGGAGATACTTTCCCGAAGAATGAGAGCCGTGGGGGCGAGCTCACGGAAGAGGATCGGAGGACTCTGATTGTTGGAGGGTGGCACCAGGACACTAAGAAATCCGTCATCCCCGAAGAAAGCCTCCAGTTCCTGCAGCGGGGCGATGTCAAGGACCACCTCGACCAGAACGAGCTATCAGTTTGGGGACCCAGAAAGAGCTTTGGGGCGTTGAAGTTCAAACCTAGGGGTGACGAAACAGAAGCCAGTGTTCGCGACAGGATGTGGCAGGTGATCAAAGCACTACGAGCCCAGCCCCTTGACCTTCCCTCTACGAGCAATGGGGGCATCCAAAAGAAACTTTGGATACAATTCGTCAAGACCAAGGAAGCGCGCCGCCGAAGTTCTCACTGCTCGCTTCTACGCCGACTTTGCCTTGAACTTGCTCGTGAACACCGTGGAGAAGGGGAGAGCGTTCGTCCTGAGGCACTGGTCGAGGCCAACTATGAATGTGACTGGAGTGGTGGGACGGTGTGGTTTCAAGAGTGGAAAATCGGCTCGGCAAGCCATCGGATGCCTAACCGGGACCAGGAAACAGTGAAGCAGATTCATAGTGGATGGGTCGATGTACAAGCAATCGCCACCTTGACTGGGACGGCATTTACCAGTGCGCTTCACGCTGTGGAGCGCGAGATCAATAATCAGTGACGGCGAAAACGTTTCACCTCTGCCTCTCTGGACAACTCGCTCGGGGAGGTGGATGATGCATGCGGGGTGAAGCAGACCAACATTGAATGTACGGGTCGCAGCTTCGCCTCTTGGAATGTTGGAGGACAGCCTGTGGACAAAGTGGACTTCGCAGCCAGGGAGTTTGATCTTTTGGCAGTACAGGAAGTTGCCCGCAGCGAAAAGCCTGGTTGGGACGAGACCAAGTCAACCTACTTCCAATGGTTTCATCATCGAGATCCTGCGCAATAGAGGGGAGTGTCGATTGCCATCGCCCATGACTTATACGACTGCGTGTTTGACAAGATGGCCAACAGATATGGAGCTGCTTGGGGCGTTCGCCTGCGAGGACACAAACGACTGGTCGTTGCTTCACTGCACTGTCCGACCGGGGTGACCGTGGCTGAGTACCAAGAAGCGCTCCTTGGGTTTCAGAAAAAACTACGAAAGTGGCATCCTGAGCTACCGGTACTGATTGGGGTGGATGCAAACACAGTTCTGACTTGGGTGAGTACCGATGAAGAAATCATTCTCAGCCGTGGGGGTGGTAAAACTGATGCATTCCTGGAGATGCTGGGAGCCTGTCGACTGCGCCCGGTGGCACCGCTGGAACATCATCGGCGTTTACCAACTCATTTTCATCGGGATGCTACAAGGGTGGGTCGGCACATCGACATGATTGGTCATCGACTGCTTCGTGTTGGGGAGGTGCATGTCGACAACAGTGCCAAGGAACGCATCAACACCGACCATGCTCTACTCCGTGTGTCCATCTACCTGCCGCACAAGTTCACGAAGCATCTCAACGACAGTCGACCTAGATGGGTAGTTGGGGAGGAGCCTTGCAGTATGATTGAGTGCCTCGAGGACGTCTACAACCTTGGCAAGACGCGAACTCGGCCGAGACTTGGAAAGAGATTCAGCGATGACAATGAGACGAGAAAGGCCGCAGCTGATGCCAAAGCCACGGGAGACAAACAGCAGTGGAAGGGAGTTCATGCGATGCGGAGAAGAAAGAAGAAAGTGTGGAAGCAAGAGCAGCTGGGAAGTATACTTCGAGGTGATTGGGGCAGGTATCGTGACTACAAGCGGGAGAAGAACACTACGGGTTGGTGGGGAGAGCTCCTTGCAAATAACAGCAGTCAAGACATCGCTAGCATGACGGAGAAACACCTGACGGAAAAGATGTGGGACGAGCAGAACTTGCATTGGGATGACGATCTCCAACGACGCATCGGGGCTGTTAGGGCGCGGCCTTGTACTTGTCAGCCGGTCACAATCGAAGAGATGGGAGCTGCACTACAGGGCATGAAGAGTCAATCTGCTCTTGGCCCTGATGGAGTTGGGGTGGACTTGCTCAAAAAGCTCTACGAAGAACAACCCGAGAACCTCGCCAACATCGTCCTCGACTGCATCGTTCGGGATGATCCTCCAGAAGATTGGGGCGTCTCCTACCTTGCTCTTCTCGCCAAGATCGACAAACCGCGGAAAGTGGGACAACTACGCCCTATTGCCATGTCTTCCACGTTCCAAAAGTTTGTCACCCGGGTCGTCATGGAACGCACTTTTGCTGGAGTACGACGGCCATGTCAGTGGGCATCCAGTGGCAAGGGAAGACAAGTTGCCGACCTGATCGGGGCGGTAAGTCGTTTCAGAGACATCTGCCGTGAATGGAAGATTGGAGGGGTGCTTATCAAACTCGACGTCCAGGGGGCGTTCGACACGATCCACCGCAGCGCCGTTGCCGACTTCCTTGAAAAGCGTCTCGACAGAGAACAATATCCGTGTGAGCTCGCGTTTTTACTTCGCCTTCTCTATTCCAACTGCCTGATGGGACAGGCGCCCGGGGGAGCTAGTGTACGGGTACAAGCCAATCGTGGTATTCGCCAAGGCAGTCCTGAATCGGCAGAAGTTTTTGGGATGATTGTGCAAGAAATCTTCGCGGATGCACATGCCGATCCACGCTGGAAAGTACCACGGGGTGAACTTGCAGACTTACCACTTGATGGAGGATGCTACCAAGATGACATGCTACTGTGGACAGACGATATCGAGATCGCGGAGCACAACATTGGAGTGTTGGTTGAACGGCTGGGGTCGGTCGGACTACAGCTCGCCTATGACAAGACTGGGGTGGTAGCAACCTCGTTCTATGAGGGACGAACTCATCTTGTGATTGGAGGCAAACAAGTTCCGTTCCTTGATGCTGACAGCTCCTTGCGAGTGCTGGGGGTTGACTTCAACCTAACGGAGAGCCCGTCGCAACAAGCCAAAGGCCTCATGGGGAGAGTGTGGGCCGCCTGGTTTCAACATGCAGAGCTCTTCAAGGCTGATGCCCCCTTCCACTCTAAAGTCAAGATGATCCGCACTCTCATACAAGGGACGTGGCAGTGGGTCGCTGGAGCTGTGCATTGGAATGCTGACGACCTCGTGGCATTCAACACTCTGCAGGTTCGTATATACCGCCTGGCGTTTGGACTACGTCGCTACCGAAGTGAGAGTTGGGTCGATTTCAACACAAGAACGTGCCGCTGGTTAAGATGTTGGCTTCATGCACAACACATTGAGCGATGGTCCACCACGGTGCTTCGACTACAACACCAATTGGCTGGACACTGGGGACGTCAACGAGAGG